ATTTAAGAAAAAAAAATGAAGGCACTGAAAACTGCTGATACACTAATTTTAGCACACCTAAAGAACTGTGCATTGATCTGATATCCCATGATTACCTCTTGGCAAAACTGGCCAACTGTGGCCTTGGGTTCACCACGATCCACTGGCTGGGGAATTGGCTCCGTGGTCAGACCCAGAGGGTGGTAATAGACGGAAATCAATCATCATGGTGCCCTGTGACCAGTGGGATCCCCCAAGGCTCTATCCTTGGACGCATATTGTTCAACATCTTCATTAATGATGTGGACATTAGAGTCAAAAGCGGACTGGCCGAGTTCGCCGATGACACCAAACTCTGGGGCAAAGCATCCACACCTGAAGATAAGAGGGCGATCCAGGCTGACCTGGACAGGCTCAACAAACGGGCAGATGAGAACCTGATGGTGTTTAACACTGAAAAATGCAAGGTTCTCCACCTTGGGAGGAAAAGCCTGCAGCATCCTTATAGGCTCGGCAGTGCTACAGTGGCTAGCACTACGGAAGAAAGAGACTTGGGGGTCAGCATTGACCACAAGATGAACATGAGCCTGCAATGCGATGCTGCGGCTAGTAAAGCGACCAAAACACTGGCTTGCATCTATAGATGCTTCTCAAGCAAATCCCAGGATGTCATGCTCCCGTTGTATTCGGCCTTGGTGAGGCCACAGCTGGAGTACTGCGTCCAGTTTCAGTCCCCACAATTCAAAAAGGACGTGGAGAAGCTTGAGAGTCCAGAGAAGAGCCACGCACATGATCAGAGGTCAGGAAAACAGATCTTATGACGACAGGCTGAGAGCTATGGGGCTCTTTAGCCTGCAAAAGTGCAGGCTCAGGGGTGATCTGATGGCCACCTATAAGTTTATCAGAGGTGACCACCAGTATCTGGGGGAACGTTTGTTCACCAGAGCGCCCCAAGGGATGACAAGGTCGAACGGTTATAAACTACTGCAAGACCGTTTCAAGCTGGATATAAGGAAGAATTTCTTTACTGTCTAAGCCCCCAAGTTCTGGAATAGTCTGCCACTGGACCTATTCAAGCACCTATGTTGAACACCTTCAAGAGAAATTTGGATGCTTATCTTGCTGGGATCCTATGACCCCAGCTGACTTCCTGCCCCTTGGGCAGGGGGCTGGACTCGATGATCTTCCAAGGTCCCTTCCAGCCCTAATAGCTATGAAATCTATGAAATATGCTATGCTTTGGTTTTGATTTGACCTGCACAGTCAACTAGGTGAATTCATAACTTGATTTTTGGTTTGGGTTATTATGCAAGTGTATTTCCCCTCCTGTTTACAAATCAACAAAACACATATGTACTCTCTCTCACACTTCCTAGGGATAATCACCTGAAAAACATTAATTACAACTCTGAAACTGCCACACCTGCCTAATATTGTATTGGCATCCATTATGAATTTTATGAAACAATGAATTTTTAGAAATGGAAAATTTCCCACATAAAAATAAAACACTGGAAAATTTTCCACCCCACATCTCTGAGCTGAGCTAGTTCACAAGAATGACATAGTAGTAAGTAAGGCTTTGATACTATCTCCTATTAATCTCTAGGTGCTACTAAATTAATAACCTGAGGATATGTTCTAGTATTGTTCCAGATATCAAACTTAGACTGGCTGGCCTGTAATTCTTTGGATCCTCTGTTTTCCCTTTTTTCAGTTTCTGGGACCTCATATAACATCTATGAGTTCTCAAAAGACAATAGCTAGTGGTTATGCAATCATTTCAGCCAATTCCTTAAGGAGCCATTGATTTTTAAATATCTAGCTTACTTAGGAAACTTCTAACTTGTTCCTTCCTTCCTTCCCAGGAGCTCAATACACACACCCCTCCCCTCTCCACAGTAAAATATACATGATTGTTTACTTAAGGATGTAAAAAAAAACAGCAGTTTTTCTGGCATTACTTAAAATATTGCAACATACTATTTACCTGAATCCAAAACAACCCTCAATAATTAAGACAACCCTCAATAATTAGATTCTATATATGGAAAATGTATACACTTGTTTTAATTTTCCATATATAGAATCTAATTATTCCATCTTAAATCTCTTCCCCCCCACACACACTGCTGCAGCAGGGAAAGCAATGGCAAGGGTGCAGACACTAGGGGGCAGGGGCAGTAGCAGTAGCTGTGGCTCCAGCCCTGACCCCAGATCAGGGCCAGAGCCAGAGCTGCAGCAGCTGCCTCCCCGCCACCACCTCCCATGTTAAACAGGGGGAGAAAGCATCATTTTGGATTTGAATAAATACAGGAAGTACATATATGGTTTGGCAACGTACAGTAAAATTGCTGATATCTGGCACAAATGGGGAATGAGGGAGTGCTGGTTCTGTAAAAATGTGGGTTACCTGAGGGCACAGGGTTTCCACCCAGACATGGAGCCGGAGTTGGTGGCAGCAGCCATATGCAGAGTGGGGGGGGGTGGCTGCACATGGAATGGAGGTAGCGCTGTGTGGTGGGTGGCACCAGCCACATGCAAGCTTTCCCCCCTGCTCCTCTGTCATACTGTTTTTACTACATTAGTGAATTTGAGAACTGTGAGAATGCTTACCTGCTCCTCCAATTGCCTTTTGTTTTCTGAGAGCTCTGCTATTAGCATGCCAAGTTTTGTTAGGGAATTACGATCATTTCCAATTTCTCTTTCCACAAATTCAGATACATAGTAGGGTATATCACAGTGATCTGGATCTCTAGCGACTAGTTGTCTTCCAACTTTAATGGCCGCCATTTTTTCTTCACCTGCAGCACTGAATTACAGGATATTTAGTTAGCCACCACCAACACGGAGCTACTGACCACCAGAGTGAAACAGGGCCAAAGAAAATTCAGTTCAAAACTATTCTGTGAAAATACTGCTTCCATAAGACTATCCACATGCATAAGTTTTTGTGGGGATATGGCCTTTAATCCACAAAGTATGACACACACACACACACACACACTCATCTGCTGACGAGTGCACAGAACCAAAACACAGCTACGAGCAAGAAAAGTTAACCAGCTTTTACTCCTCTGACACTATATTTCTAAAAGCTACTTGATTTTTGGACAGGCACTTAGTAAGCAATCCTACTCAATTTACTAAGATGAGCTGTGTTTGGGGAGTTTATGCATACTGTTGATACAGGAGGTGAGGGGGTGTGCGCGTGTATGTGTGCACGTGTGATCTGCTTTCATAAATTATTTTTTCTGTAAGCCGCCCTGAGCCTGCTTTGGGAAGAGCTGCAACAAACATCCAGTAAATAAATAAATTTATTATATATAAAAAAATAATAGAAAATGTTTTACGGTCCAACTCCTGCAACGACCTTCAGAACTCGGCAGCTTTGAAAAAAAGTGAAATTCATGTGTGAGAGTTGTCTGGTCAGGTTATCATCCCTACCTCAACAACCGGATTAAAAAAGTGCAAAACGTGTCAAATATTTCATGTGTAGGCAGCTGAAGAAACCCGCGGCCATTTGAACATTGGCTTAAAACTTCTTTGAAAGAAACGCGTGGAAAAGGGGAAAAAAAACTTAGAAACCATTTATACTCGTTAGTCTGGTCACCGCACCAGCAGCCGACAGGCTTGGCCCGTGAAGCTGCAGGCGGTATCTTTGCCTTGGTGCCTTTTGGCTGCTTCAGTCCGGCACAGCCGCAGGGGAAAGAGGAGGGCAGGGGAGGGGAGCGGAGCGGAGCGGAGCGGGCTGCCGGCCGCGCTGTCGCTGCGGGCAGCCGCGAGTCAGCACAAGGCCCGTTTGTGGGAGCAGCGCCACCCCCCAAACCCCGCGAGGAGTGACCGCGGTCGCACGACTCGCGCAGCAGCCGCCCACCGGGACGAGTCTCGTCGCAGCACTTGCAGCCGAGCCGGGCCGGGCCGGGCTTCCCCCAACTCCGCTTGCAGCCGCCGCCACTCCCGCCGGGGCCTGAGCCCCGCCCCTACCGGCCGCGTCCACAGTCCCAGGTCCCGCGAGAGGTGGCGAAGTCGCCCGAGCGCGCGGGTCACGTGCCTACAGCGCCAGAACGGAGAACCTGACACGCGCGAGACGCACGCGCGAGGAGGCCCCTCCGGCGGTTGTTGCCATTATTGCAGTTCCGCCTCGCCCCACCCCCAACGAGGGGCGGAGCCTGGCAGAGCCCCACGCCCCGTGGCCAATGGGAGAGCGCGGTTGGGCCCCGCCCCGCCCCGCCCCACCCCACCCCGCCGCAGCGCGCAGGGCAGTGAGGGGCAGCCAGGTGTTCCCGCCCCCGGGCTATCCTGAGGCGGTCTCAAGGACGGCGTACAGGCTGAGGGGTGGAGGGTGGTGCTGTGCTGGTCTAAGGACGGTGACAGGCGAGGTTTCGCGGGTAAATCCCAGTTCTTTGATTAGACCAACTAATGCTGCTTGGTTGAATCAAAGAGAGCCCGACCTCAGCGCTCTGACGAGGATCAGAATTAACCCAGGGCTTTCACACAGGAAGCCTAGCTGTGCTGTTCTGCCACAGAAAACCTGCTCCATCACTTCTGCTATAGGCAAAAAGAGCGGGGCAGGAGTGCGCATTGCCCAAGGGCACCTCTAGGGCAGCCAGAAGTCTACACAAGGTTTGGGAGCAGCTACAATAGTGTGTACTGAGATGTGGAAACACCCCTGTGCCCCCAAAGGCATCTCCCTCTGCTCCCAACTAGAGTCAACGTTTTGGAAGTTTTTTGTTTTACTGAACACCGTTCTGCAAACCGCCACGGCGGGTCGGGGCACCAGCCCGCCCAGGCTGTCGCCTTTAAGCAGCTGAGAGGTTTTTTGGGGTTTTTTTAAAGAAAAGAACGGGTCAGCCATACTAGGAACAAAAAAAGGCGTCCACCTGCAAGCACATACTGCATCTCCACCGATGCTTCTGGCAGTTCATTTTTTTTCCCCCCCTCTCAAGAAAAGATACTTATGTTTTTGTATTATTCGCACACAAATCCAATGCTCAAAAGAAGATGCAAACAACTTGCACTATTTACACGATTTATTAATTCAAGCAGCAGAAAACAAGTGTGTTTTGTTGGTTTTTTAAAAATTATAACATCGAAAATGCAACAGAACTGCTGTTAGAATGGCTTTTTAATCCTCCGGTGCCGGGAGATTGGATTTGCCCAGCTCATCCACTGCCAGCAATGGACCCACCAAATTTCTGGTGCCCAGGAATTAGCTGTTATTCATGAATACTCATCTGGACTTTTTGGTTAATTTGTTTTTGTTACCTGTTCTTTTGTACAGGTACTCTTAGAGATGAAAACATGCACAATATTTTCATAATAAAATTTAGAGCTCAAATAATTAAAAATAGCTGTATCTGTTTACATCACATAAAAAGGAATGAAAAGTTTTGCCAATCGATTCATTTACCAATCAGTGCAAATGCTACTGGCATTCCAACGCTACTCAAATGTACTCCTCTGAAATAAATATTAATTCTTCAATCGTATTTAATAATTCTTCTCTGTAACATTAGCATGCTTGCAGTGACTTTTATTCTGTACTGAACTGATGAAAGTATATTCAATGCTCTCTGTACTTATAAAGAGAAAAGCAATTTAGTATTTCCAAAAATCTGAGATTGCTGTCCTAAGCCCATTTCTTCTTAAACTGTAGTTGTGCTAGAGCTTAAATAGATTATTGGCTCAGGTAATTAAAAAAGCCAAAGCATTAAGTTTTTTTTTGGTTTTTTTTTTTGTTTTTTTACAAACACCCATATTGCAAACAATTATTGAATTAAATGCTTAAGCTAAAAAAAAAAAAAAAAAAAAAACTTAAAAAAATACAAACTTTTTTCTTCTAAAAATATTCAATGGTTTGCACAGGACAGGAAAATATGAAAACTCATTCATATTTTAAAATCTTTATGTAGTTTTACAGCATTCATTCAGCGAAGCCACGTAGTATTCAGCTGTGTCTGGTTTTTTATACTCGTGTCCATTTTTAAGACTTCTCGAATTGCCATGGTAGCGTAAGTGGAAGGAGGAAGAGAGAATTCCATCTTCAAGGCCCTGAATTTACCCTCTGTTAGGTATGAAAGAAGCAAATAAACATTTCTGATGCTGTTCTGTCATCACATCATTTGTCCTATTTTAAGTATTTTCTCGAAGTGGTAATCTTAGCATGAGGTTCATAGATTCATAGATTGTAGGAGGCTGGAAGGGACCTTGCAAAATCGGGTCCAGGCCCCTGCACTAGGCAGGAAAGACAACTGGGGTCACGTGACCCCGGCGAGGTAACTGTCCAGTCTCCTCTGAAGATTTCCAGGGTAAGTGATTGTACCACCTCTGGAGGGAGTTTATTCCACAGTCTGGACACCCTGACTATGACAAAGTTTTTCCTTGCATTAAACCTGAAATGGTCTTCCTGGAGTTTGTGGCCATTACTCCTGGTTTTCCCCAAGGGTGCCCTGGTGAACAGTTGTTCGCCAAGCCCTTGATGTACTCCCCTGCTGTAGAGGTAAGCTGCTACCAAGTCCCCTCTTAGCATTCTCTTTTTCAGGCTGAAGAGTCCCAGGTCCCTCAGTCTTTCCTTGTATGGCTTGCCTTGCAAGTCTTTGATCATACAGGTGGCTCTTCTCTGGACTCAAGCAAGGCCCCCACAGTGAGGGAGGGAGTCAGGTTAGAGGCTGGGGTGAATGGGGCCCCAAGGGGTCATGGGACAGAGCCGCTGGGGGAGGGGGGCACGACTCACTGCCGCTCACGCACCCCTAGGGGAGCCACGGGCAGGGGGCTAGTGCCCCCCCAGATATGTGCCCAGGGCAGAGGCACGCTACCCGCTGTGGGCTGGGGCTCCACGCCCTGCTGCCTTTGCCCTGGGAGCCGTGCACTGGCCATGCATCCCTTGCCCAACCAGTGGCATTGTGTGGCTCCCAGGGCTAAGGCGGCAGGGTGCAGAGCCCCAGCCTGTAGCCTGCCTCTGCCCCAGGCACAAATCCAGGGGGCACATGTGCCTCCCCTGGAGGTGCATGCAGGAGTGGGGAGCCTCCCACCCCTCCCCTGTGCCTCTAGACAAGCCTCCTGCAGCTGTCACACAACCCCTGACCCAACCCGTCTGCCTCTGCCTGCCTTTCTGCCTCTGTCTGTGCATCTGTCTGCTCCTTGCTCACAAGCCACAACCCCCCCAGCCCCGCTGCTGCCCCTTGCTCCTGACCTACAGTATACCACATCCTGCCAGGGTATGCAGGGACCCTCCCTCCCTCCTTGGTCTCCAAACTCTGTCCCCACACACACCCACAACCCCCCACACCTTCACAAATAACACCCTCCCTGCCCCCCCCCCACTTCAAAAATAGCATCTCACATTCAGATCTCTTGATTTTGAAGAGTTTGTTTCAATTTTTGACAGGGTTGGGGTTGGCAATACTGTTCTAACAAACTTTATACTACACCAGGTCTGTAAAAATCCATAGAAATATTCTTACTCTTACCTTTAGGAAGGACAGGTAATGGTTTTTCCTCCAATTTGTCCAAGTCCGTATTAAATAATGGGATTTTAGGATCATCATATGCAACAACCTCCCTTTATAAAAACACAGGACAAAACCTTTTTATATTTAATTTTGAAGTATTCAATACTAATAAGTTTAACACAAAGTTCCCTAGTTTGGGCATAATATGCAAAAAATATAAAAGATTCACATATATCATGCCAGTGAACAAACTGCAATATTGACCATGAAGTAGATGCACAGGAGAACAAGGCCTGTTAGCATTTTTGCAATCCTACTATTTCAAATATATTTCCCTGTATACTACTACTAACCAGTTGACATTCTGAGGTCGAATGATGATCTTTCTGTAAGCTCCAGATAATGAGTAATCTCTAATTTTGTGTCGCATGTTGTTGATATCAAGATTGTCAACAGTTAGCATTTCCTTGTAGGCATCACCAACTGCAATAAAAGGAATCTTTAAATAAATGAAACATTAAGTAAACTTAGTCTTAGCAGAACACTCAAAAATATTAATTTACAAGCAATTATTTCCCTGTTTTCAAAATTCTTGAGATCTCAGAAGAGATTTAGCATATACAATGTTAGCAACTCCTGCAAAATATCTTTTTTCATAAAGCCCCACCTGCTGGAGTCATGTGATCATGCAAGAATCTGTTTCCATTAAAAATATTTTTCTAGTCCTGATATCTATGTTAAAAACCTCATAATAAGAGAACTATACATTTATTTCTTCTAAAAAACCTTATGGTTTTTGGCATCTTACTGCACAATTCCTGAAAGTTAGCAGTTTGCAAAACCACACATTTCAAAAAAGGAAAGGAAAAAGGAAAGGAAAGAAAAGAACAGGAAATAATTGTTCCTGTTGCTGGAAGTGACAGGAACAATCCAAGTGGGAAAACTACTTTAAAAGCACAGGAATAAATTGATAAGGAAATTTAAATTAATGCCCTAAGGGATGTCAAACTCAAGCCACGTTCCTGCAGGATCCAGACTGCAGGGCTTCTCACAGGCAATGGAATGAGCAGTGGTGAGGCAAGTAGCTCCAGCCTGCCAACACACATACCCAATGGGGGCTCTGTGCTCTGGATTTTGGTGGCAGAACTCTCCTCCAAATTCCTGCTCCCTCTACCAACTCCTGAGGCCCACAACATGGCTCTACAAGGTAGGTATAGCCTGTAGGCTGTAAATCTAACACCCTTGCTTTAATCATATAAAAACAGATGCTTTGTAATGGATTAAACTGGTATTTAAAAAGCATTACTATGTATACTTTGCACATTTGGTTGCTGAAACACTGTTCAATCTCTCTCTCTCTCTCTCTCTCTCTCTCTCCACAAATGGCATCTGCTTTGTATTTTAAAACTTACTGGATCAAATTCATTGCCAACATGTAACTTTCACATGGTCAGGAAGTTATAATCAGGAATGAATTGCCTCAATAGTGAAGTAGAGTTGTGTGCAAGAAAATATTAGCAGCTGGTCTATCACCACAGTGAGCACACTTTAAAACCAAACTATGCCGCATATAGAACAATTAAGGATAGTATTTAAAAAAAATAAATAAAAGCTCTTAAAAATAAAAGTTAAGATATATTTGGACTAAATTTGGTTTCCTCTATGTCACAACCCAAAGGGTGTGATTTTTGTTTTTGTGTGCTTCGGCACTGCTAAATTGTTCCCGCTAAATTATTGCTTCCTTGCACGGTGGAGTTTTCTGCTGCAAAAGAGAACCCCGGTGCAAGGGAGAATTTCCCGCCAATTTGAAGCTTTCTTTGCAGGGTGCATTTCTTTGTTGCAGCACAGAAATGCTCGTTGCAAAGAGTTCCCACCATTTGTATGCTAATTCGAGTCCCATTATTGGCCAGTTCTAAATTATTCACACGTGGCAGCTAGTGATTGGCTTGCTAGCCGTATAAGAAGCTTGAGTGGTTTCC